CATCAAAAGAACACATTTCATGTGAGAGTTTGTGGAGAGAGAGAGAGAGATACGCGAGGAAACAAATAAGGAAATTAGTACTTTGGTGCAGATCAGCTGGCACGGAACCGTTATTACGTGTCAGCTGTCGTTGATATTCTAGCTTTTTTAGCTGTCAACCAACTCCCTCTCAGAGGTGACCACGATTCACCACAGCATGTCCGAGTCAGGCAGTGAGCTCTTCCTATCGCTGTTTGAGTATTCGCTGCACAAAGATGCAGAGTTGGCCAAAATAATGTTCTAAGTTAGCTCGGCTGAGCGAAAGGATGCACCTGCAGTGCATAGGAAAATAAACCATGCCCAAGGCGGGCTAAACAGTTCATTGTCTCCGTCTCTACTATTTCTCTCTGAGTGCAACGATGAGGAAGCTGCCATCCTTAACCTGTGCCTTGCTCGTGATTTACCAGTGTTTGTGCTGCCACGCACACAATGTTTCAAAAGTGGTTTCTATGTTGCCCTTTATTTGTGTATGTATTTGCGATAAGTGTGCGTCTTTTTGCAATGCTGTTGGCCTTGCTGATTGATATATATTGTGACGCAGGCCCGCAGCACATGACGATTTTGTGTGCCCTCCCATGAAAATAATATGCCCTCCCTTTAGATTTGTTCTGGCGCCGGGTCTGGTGTGTTTATGTTTTATTTAAGAGGAAGCTGGAATCTGTAATCCTTACAAATATTTCCACTCTGGCGACATCCATCCAACTTCTCCTGCTTATCCGTGGTTGGAGAGAGAGCCCCAAACTTTCCTTTCTCTGGCCAACCAGCTCTGACTGGGGGATTCCAAGGCGCTCCCAGGCCAGTGAAGAGATATAATCCCTCCACCTGGTCCTAGGTCTACCCCTCGGTCTCTTCCCAGCTGGACGTGCCTGGAACGCCTCCCTAGGGAGGCGCCCAGGTGGCATCCTTACTAGGTGACCGAACCACCTCAACTGGCTCCTTTCGACGCAAAGGAGGAGCGGTTCAACTCAGAGTCCCTCCCGGATGACTGGACTTCTCACCTTATCCCTAAGGGAGACGCCAGCCACCCTGCGGAGAAAACCCATCTCGGCCGCTTGTATCCGCAATCTCGTTCATGACCCATCCTTCATGACCATAGGTGAGGGTAGGTACGAAAATGGCCCGGAAGACAGAGTTTTGCCTTCTGGCTCAGCTCTCTTTTCGTCACAACGGTGCGGTAAAGTGACTGCAATACCGCTCCCGCTGCTCCGATTCTCCGGCCCATCTCACGCTCCATTGTTCCCTCACTTGAGAACAAGACCCAGAGATACTTGAACTCCTTCACTTGGGGTAAGGCCTCGTTCCCTACTTGGAGTGGACAGTCCATCGGTTTCCTGCTGAGAACCATGGCCTCAGATTTGGAGGTGCTGATCCTCATCCCAGCCGCTTCACACTCGGTTGCGAACCGATCCAGTGAGTAGAACCACATCATCTGCATAAAGCAGTGGTGCAATCCTTAGCCCACAGAACTGCAGATCCCCTCCCCCACGACTATGCCTCGAAATCCAATCCATGTATATTACAAACAGGATCGGTGTCAAAGCGCAGCCCTGGCGGAGGCCAACCCTCACCGGAAATGGGTCCGACTTACAGAGGACCCGGACACAGCTCTCGCTTTGGGAGTACAGAGATTGGATGGCCCTGAGAAGAGACCCCCTCACTCCATACTCCTGCAGCACCTCATACGCCTTCTCCAAATCTACAAAACACATCGGATAAGCGTACTCCCAAGCCCCCTCCAGGATCCTTGCGAGAGTAAAAAGCGGATCCGTCGTTCCACGACCAGAATCCGCATTGTTCCTACTCAATCTGAGGTTCGACAATCGGCCTGACCCTCCTTTCGAGCACCTTAGAGTAAACTTTCCCGGGGAGGCTGAGTAGTGTGATGCCTCTGTAATTGGCACACACCCTCTGATCCCCCTTTTTGAAAAGGGGAACCACCAACCCGGTCTGCCACTCCTTCGGTACTGTTTCCGACTTCCATGCAACGTTGATGAGATGTGTCAACCATGACAGTCCCTCAACACCCAGAGCCTTCAGCATTTCTGGGCGGATCTCATCCACCCCCGGGGCTTTGCCGCTGTGGTGTTGTTTGACTACCTCAGTGACCTCCCCCCGGGAGATTGGTGTTGATCTCCCTGGCCCGTCATACTCCAGCTCTGCCTCTACCATAGAGGGCGGAGTTGTCGGGTTCAGGAGTTCTTCAAAGTGTTCCTTCCAACGCCCTAACACTCCATCAGTTGAGGTCAACAGTGTCCCATCATTACTGTACACAGCTTGGATGGTTCCCTGCTTCCCCCTCCTGAGGTGTCGGACAGTTTTCCAGAACAACTTTGGTGCCGCCCGAAAGTCCTTTTCCATGTCTTTTCCGAACTTCTCCCACACCCGCTGCTGCCCTTCGGGCCTGTCGGTATCTTGCAACTGCCTCGGGAGTCCCCCGGGATAACAAATCCCTGAAGGTCTCCTTCTTCAGTCGGACGGCTTCCCTGACCACCGGTGTCCACCAGGAGGTTCGAGGGTTACCGCCCCTTGAGGCACCTAAGACCTTGAGACCACAGCTCCCCGCCACGGCTTCGGCAATAGAGGCTTTGAACACCGCCCTCTCTGGTTCAATGTCCCCAGCCTCCACAGGGATAACCGAAAAGCTCCGCCGGAGGTGTGAGTTGAAGGCCTCCTGAACTTGGGCCTCCTCCAGACGTTCCCAGTTCACCCACACTACACGTTTGGGCTTACCAGGTCTGTCCAGAGGCTTCCCCCGCCACTCGACCCAACTCACCACCAGATGGTGATCAGTTGACAGCTCCGCCCCTCTCTTTACCCGAGTGTCCAAAACATACGGCCTCAGGTCCGATGATACGATAACAAAATCGATCATGGACCTTCTGCCTAGGGTGCTCTGGTACCATGTATACTTATGAGCATCCTTATGTTCGAACATGGTGTTTGTTATGGCCAATTCATGACTAGCACAGAAGTCCAGTAACAAACCACCACTCCGGTTCAGATCAGGGGGGCCATTCCTCCCAATCACGCCCCTCCAAGTGTCTCCATCATTGCCCACATGTGCGTTGAAGCAAGCTCCGGTTCCTTCCCCCCCAGAGAGGTGACGTTCCACGTCCCCAAAGCCAGCTTCTGTCGCCCGGGTCTGGTCCGTCGAGACCCTCTGCTTTCACTGCCACCCTTCTGGCAGCGCACCCGACCCCATCGCTGTTTCCCGTAGGTGGTGGGCCCGCGGGACAGAGAAGCGGAGGAGTTGCCCACGTTGCCTTTTCGGGCTGTGCCCGGCTGGGCTCCGTGTCAAGCCCGGCCACCAGACGCTCACCGACGAGTCCTCCTTCTGGGCCTGGCTCCAGAAGGGGACCCCGGGCTTCCTCCGGGCCGGGTATCCTCACTTCTTAGTTCGTCTTTCATGAGGTCTTCGAACTCAGGAGACATAAATTATCTTAATGGTTGAGTCGATATGAAAGCATTTAGTTTATTAAGTGAAGTATGCAACGAATATCCTCATGTCATTCCCTTAAACACATTAAGTATATTTATACAAAAAGTAATACTTTATTTATTTAGACTAAATGCCACTAAGTCTAAGTACTCCATTATAATAGCATTACATATTAAAGCAACCATTGTCATGAACCAGATGGACCACAAGCCTTTTACATTATACTACAAATACCTAACATTGTCAATTTGACTTAATAAACGTCATACAATAAGTCATACATGATGTCATAAGACGGCTGTGTTTCTTGAGCTTTTGACTGCTCCAGGAAATTAGCATTGCACTAGCACAGGGGTATGCAACCTTTGTGACCAAAAGAGCAATTTTTCCCCCTTTCCACAAATTTTTTTTGTCTGGAGCCGCAAAACATATTTGATAGGTTGATAGCTTATAAAGCTGTATATATTGTTATATCATAGACGAAAACTACACTTTTTTTGCATTTATTATTTATTACAAACTGTTTATCTCTAATAATAAACAAATGACTCTTATAAAAAATACACAGGCATACTTTACAAAATAAACACAGCACTTGGGGCGTCCTCTGCACATTTGAAGAAAAATAAATACAATTAAAATGGGCCCACTTTAAAATAAATAAAACATATAGCTGAACCCTAGACATAGTTAACAAATGTAATTATGACTGAAGATCGTCAGCTGTCTTCCTCTTCCGTGTTTTTCCTCCAATACGTAAAGGCTGCAGCACCGTTGACAATTTCTCTCCACATATCAAACATACCGGTAAGCCAGCATCGTTTGCTGTGAAAGCATATAACTCTGTCCACGCAGAATTAAACCCTCTGTGTTCCTCCCATACTTTTATTTTCTTTGATTTATCCATAGTTCGCTCATCGAGCCGGGGGTCAGGTTATGTGTCACAGTCTATCACCTCAAAATACAAGATACCAAACATTTTCAACCATGCAACAAAATATAAATAGTCCTAAAAATATTTGTATTTTATTTCCTTCTTATTTTTGTCTAAGCTCAAGGGAGCCAGAGCAGAGGGCTTAAAGAGCCGCATGCGGCTCCGGAGCCGCGGGTTGCCGACCCCTGCACTAGCATAAGAATGAAGGCCTTCAGACAATGTTTAAGAATGATCAAAACAGAAGCAACAGAGGCCAAGATAATCTGACAAACAAAAACATATATAGTTGAACACAAAAATGATTTGTGTAACACTGTTACCACTAGTTATCCTCCCTCATCTTTAAAACTCCACACACCCAGTTCTTTATCCAATGCTGTTGGCCATACTGTTTTAATTGTATTTATCTTGAGCAGCCGCACATGACGGTTTTGTGCTCCTCCCCCCCCCCCCCAATGAAAATCAAATGCCCTCTCTGTAGATTGCTCTGGCGCCAGGCCTGCTTCTATATTATGTGTCTACACATTTAAAGCATGTAGGTATATGAACACATTTGAGGACGTATGGAGCCAGGAGTGAAGAGCTTACCTTGCTGGAACTCATTAAGCTTCTTCATGGCCTCGTCTCTCTCCTCCACCAGCTTCTTGCACTTTAGAGACAAAGACAGAGAAACTGAATCTCAGGCCCCCTGCTGTTTGAATCATCCTTTCTCTGTTTGCCTGAGCAACAGCAACTCAGAGGCTGAAGAAATAAATGAAATATTCTGCTGATGGGGAAATATAATACCTGCCCCTAAAGATAAGATAAGATGTACTTTATTGATCCCAAATTGGGATTTTTTTTTGTCGCAGCAGGACAAAAAAAAAACAAGGTGTTAGAAATGAAAGGAGTAGAAATAACAATAAACATCTCAAAATAGAAATAAACCGGCATTAGAGAGTAGAAAATAGTTGATCTTGAAGATAAAAAAAGGGCCCATTTCTTGTAGACACAATATAACCCTAACCCTAACCCAGGATAGTATTTACATTAAGTGTGCAAGGAATGGAATATTACATTAAATGTAAATGTAAAATATACAGTGTGAAGATAAAGTAGAAGAAGATCTCCAACAGCAGACTGGTAGAATATCTCCAACAGCAGACTGGTAGAAGATCTCCAACAGCAGACTGGTAGAAGACCTCCAACAGCAGACTGGTAGAAGATCTCCAACAGCAGACTGGTAGAAGATCTCCAACAACAGCCTGGTAGAAGATCTCCAACAACAGCCTGGTAGAAGATCTCTAACAGCAGACTGGTAGAAGATCTCTAACAGCAGACTGGTAGAATATCTCTAACAGCAGACTGGTAGAATATCTCTAACAGCAGACTGGTAGAAGATCTCCAACAACAGCCTGGTAGAAGATCTCTAAGAGCAGACTGGTAGAAGATCTCCAACAACAGACTGGTAGAAGATCTCTAACAGCAGACTGGTAGAAGATCTCCAACAACAGACTGGTAGAAGATCTCTAACAGCAGACTGGTAGAATATCTCTAACAGCAGACTGGTAGAAGATCTCTAACAGCAGACTGGTAGAAGATCTCTAACAGCAGACTGGTAGAAGTTCTCCAACCACAGACTGGTAGAAGATCTCTAACAGCAGACTGGTAGAAGATCTCTAACAGCAGACTGGTAGAAGATCTCCAACCACAGACTGGTAGAAGATCTCTAACAGCAGACTGGTAGAAGATCTCTAACAGCAGACTGGTAGAATATATCTAACAACAGACTGGTAGAAGATCTCTAACAGCAGACTGGTAGAAGATCTCTAACAACAGACTGGTAGAAGATCTCTAACAGTAGACTGGTAGAAGATCTCCAACCGTAGACTGGTAGAAGATCTCCAACCACAGACTGGTAGAAGATCTCTAACAGCAGACTGGTAGAATATCTCTAACAGCAGACTGGTAGAATATCTCTAACAGCAGACTGGTAGAAGATCTCCAACCACAGCCTGGTAGAAGATATCTAACAGCAGACTGGTAGAAGATCTCCAACAACAGACTGGTAGAAGATCTCTAACAGCAGACTGGTAGAAGATCTCCAACCACAGCCTGGTAGAAGATATCTAACAGCAGACTGGTAGAAGATCTCCAACAACAGACTGGTAGAAGATCTCTAACAGCAGCCTGGTAGAAGATCTCCAACAACAGCCTGGTAGAAGATATCTAACAGCAGACTGGTAGAAGATCTCCAACAACAGACTGGTAGAAGATCTCTAACAGCAGACTGGTAGAAGATCTCCAACCACAGACTGGTAGAAGATCTCCAACAACAGCCTGGTAGAAGATATCTAACAGCAGACTGGTATAAGATCTCCAACAACAGACTGGTAGAAGATCTCTAACAGCAGACTGGTAGAAGATCTCTAACAACAGACTGGTAGAATATCTCTAACAGCAGACTGGTAGAAGATCTCAAACAACAGACTGGTAGAAGATCTCCAACCACAGACTGGTAGAAGATCTCTAACAGCAGACTGGTAGAAGATCTCCAACCACAGACTGGTAGAAGATCTCCAACCACAGACTGGTAGAAGATCTCCAACCACAGACTGGTAGAAGATCTCTAACAACAGACTGGTAGAAGATCTCTAACAGCAGACTGGTAGAAGATCTCCAACCACAGACTGGTAGAAGATCTCCAACCACAGACTGGTAGAAGATCTCTAACAACAGACTGGTAGAAGATCTCTAACAACAGCCTGGTAGAAGATCTCTAACAGCAGACTGGTAGAATATCTCCAACAACAGCCTGGTAGAAGATCTCTAACAGCAGACTGGTAGAAGATCTCTAACAACAGCCTGGTAGAAGATCTCTAACAGCAGACTGGTAGAAGATCTCCAACAACAGCCTGGTAGAAGATCTCTAACAGCAGACTGGTAGAAGATCTCTAACAACAGACTGGTAGAAGATCTCTAACAGCAGACTGGTAGAAGATCTCCAACCACAGACTGGTAGAAGATCTCCAACCACAGACTGGTAGAAGATCTATAACAACAGACTGGTAGAATATCTCTAACAGCAGACTGGTAGAAGATCTCCAACCACAGACTGGTAGAAGATCTCTAACAACAGACTGGTAGAAGATCTCTAACAACAGCCTAGTAGAATATCTCTAACAGCAGACTGGTAGAAGATCTCCAACAACAGACTGGTAGAAGATCTCTAACAGCAGACTGGTAGAAGATCTCTAACAGCAGACTGGTAGAATATCTCTAACAGCAGACTGGTAGAAGATCTCTAACAACAGACTGGTAGAAGATCTCTAACAGCAGACTGGTAGAAGATCTCCAACCACAGACTGGTAGAAGATCTCCAACAACAGCCTGGTAGAAGATCTCTAACAGCAGACTGGTAGAAGATCTCTAACAACAGACTGGTAGAAGATCTCTAACAGCAGACTGGTAGAAGATCTCCAACCACAGACTGGTAGAAGATCTCCAACCACAGACTGGTAGAAGATCTCTAACAACAGACTGGTAGAAGATCTCTAACAGCAGACTGGTAGAATATCTCCAACCACAGACTGGTAGAAGATCTCCAACCACAGACTGGTAGAAGATCTCTAACAGCAGACTGGTAGAATATCTCTAACATTAGACTGGTAGAAGATCTCCAACAACAGCCTGGTAGAAGATCTCTAACAGCAGACTGGTAGAATATCTCTAACAGCAGACTGGCAGAAGATCTCTAACAGCAGACTGGTAGAAGATCTCCAACAACAGCCTGGTAGAAGATCTCTAACAGCAGACTGGTAGAAGATCTCTAACAGCAGACTGGTAGAAGATCTCTAACAGCAGACTGGTAGAAGATCTCCGACCACAGACTGGTAGAAGATCTCCAACAACAGCCTGGTAGAAGATATCTAACAGCAGACTGGTAGAATATCTCCAACAACAGACTGGTAGAAGATCTCTAACAGCAGACTGGTAGAAGATCTCTAACAGCAGACTGGTAGAAGATCTCTAACAGCAGACTGGTAGAATATCTCTAACAGCAGACTGGTAGAAGATCTCCAACAACAGCCTGGTAGAAGATCTCTAACAGCAGACTGGTAGAAGATCTCTAACAACAGACTGGTAGAATATCTCTAACAGCAGACTGGTAGAAGATCTCCAACCACAGACTGGTAGAAGATCTCCAACCACAGACTGGTAGAAGATCTCCAACCACAGACTGGTAGAATATCTCTAACAACAGACTGGTAGAAGATCTCTAACAGCAGACTGGTAGAAGATCTCCAACCACAGACTGGTAGAAGATCTCCAACCACAGACTGGTAGAAGATCTCTAACAACAGACTGGTAGAAGATCTCTAACAACAGCCTGGTAGAAGATCTTTAACAGCAGACTGGTAGAATATCTCTAACAGCAGACTGGTAGAATATCTCCAACAACAGCCTGGTAGAAGATCTCTAACAGCAGAATGGTAGAAGATCTCTAACAACAGCCTGGTAGAAGATCTCTAACAGCAGACTGGTAGAAGATCTCCAACAACAGCCTGGTAGAAGATCTCTAACAGCAGACTGGTAGAAGATCTCTAACAACAGACTGGTAGAAGATCTCTAACAGCAGACTGGTAGAAGATCTCCAACCACAGACTGGTAGAAGATCTATAACAACAGACTGGTAGAATATCTCTAACAGCAGACTGGTAGAAGATCTCCAACCACAGACTGGTAGAAGATCTCTAACAACAGACTGGTAGAAGATCTCTAACAACAGCCTGGTAGAATATCTCTAACAGCAGACTGGTAGAAGATCTCTAACAACAGACTGGTAGAAGATCTCTAACAACAGCCTGGTAGAATATCTCTAACAGCAGACTGGTAGAAGATCTCTAACAGCAGACTGGTAGAAGATCTCCAACAACAGACTGGTAGAAGATCTCTAACAGCAGACTGGTAGAAGATCTCTAACAGCAGACTGGTAGAAGATCTCTAACAACAGCCTGGTAGAATATCTCTAACAGCAGACTGGTAGAAGATCTCTAACAGCAGACTGGTAGAAGATCTCCAACAACAGACTGGTAGAAGATCTCTAACAGCAGACTGGTAGAAGATCTCTAACAGCAGACTGGTAGAATATCTCTAACAGCAGACTGGTAGAAGATCTCTAACAACAGACTGGTAGAAGATCTCTAACAGCAGACTGCTAGAAGATCTCCAACCACAGACTGGTAGAAGATCTCCAACAACAGCCTGGTAGAAGATCTCTAACAGCAGACTGGTAGAAGATCTCTAACAACAGACTGGTAGAAGATCTCTAACAGCAGACTGGTAGAAGATCTCCAACCACAGACTGGTAGAAGATCTCCAACCACAGACTGGTAGAAGATCTCTAACAACAGACTGGTAGAAGATCTCTAACAGCAGACTGGTAGAATATCTCCAACCACAGACTGGTAGAAGATCTCCAACCACAGACTGGTAGAAGATCTCTAACAGCAGACTGGTAGAATATCTCTAACAGCAGACTGGTAGAAGATCTCCAACAACAGCCTGGTAGAAGATCTCTAACAGCAGACTGGTAGAAGATCTCCAACAGCAGACTGGTAGAAGATCTCTAACAGCAGACTGGTAGAAGATATCTAACAGCAGACTGGT